TCCTCCCAGAGAGGTGTCTGGGAAAGCCAACCAAAACTAAAGGTTTAAGTAAGATCCAAAGTCTCATGACATAACATGAAAATTACTATTTTCAATTGAGTATCACATATCATATGAATAGCCAGGAAGATATCAAACAGAATAAGAAAAGACTATTAATAACTGGGATGACAGAGATTGTCTGACAAAGGTTTTAAAGCAGTCATGAAAATAATGCTTCAGTATACAATTAGGAGCACACTTGAAACACATGAAATACAGAAAACATCACGATAAAAACAGATAAAATAGAAAGCCTCAGCAAAGAAACAGAAGACATAAAAAAGAACCAAATAAGTTTCAGAACTGAAAAATATAATAAAATAAAAAGTTTAGTGATCGGCTCAATGGCAGAATAGAAGAGATAGAGGAGAGAATCAGTGAACTGAAAAACAGAACAATAGGAATTATTCAATCTGAGAAGTACAGAGCAATAGACTAAAAAATAATTAACCAGGCATCAGGGGCCTGTGGGACTATAACAGAGATGTAATACTTATGTCACTGGAGTTCAGGTAAGAGAAGAGAAAAGGTATTCAAATAAATAATGGCTGGAAACCGCACAAATTTGGCAAGAGATGTAAACCTACAAATTTAAGATGCTAAGTGAACCCCAAACATGATAACCTAAGAAATATCCAGCAAGCCAAAGAAAAACATCTTGAAAGCAGCCAGAGGAGACAACACCTTACCTATAGGAGAGAAACAGAGTGTTAGATCCTCCCTTGAAAAACGTTGTACCTACTTAGAGAATTCTCACCAGTCTCTGAGCAGTAATTCCAGCCTTACTCCAGTTAAAGCTGGGTTTTATCTAAAATTTTGGCTCTTTCTGCATAATAACAGAAAACACATAAAATCACTGCTTTAATTTGAGGGGCTCCTAGATAGTTTCTGGATGGGGGCTGGTCTCCAGAAAAACCAACCGTGTGATTAGAGAGTTGAAACTTTCAGCATCTCACCCTCCTACCTCTGGGGTGGTTAGAGGTGTTGGAGATGAGTTCCATCACCAACAGCCAGTGGTTTAATCAGTCATGCCTGTGAAATGAAACCACCACAAATGCAGAGAGCTTCCAGATTGAGGAACGCTTCCTCATGCCGGGGTGAAAGCTGCACCCTAAGTAACTCCAAGGGGACAGAGGCTCCAACAGGTGGGTCTCTCTGGACCTTGTCCTATGTACGTCTTTATCTGGCTGTTTGCTTGTATCATTTATAATAAACTGCAATAGTAACTATAGCATTTTCCTGTGTTCTATGAGCCATTCCAGTAAATTATCACATCTGTTGGGACTTGTGAGAATTCCTGAATTTGTAGTTGGCGGGGCAGAAGCGTCAGTAGCCTGGGCATCCCATTTGCAGCTGGCATGTGAAGTGGGGCCTATCTTGTAGGGCCTTTTGATAACCCCTGAGTTTATGCCAATGAATTGACTTATGATAAGGCCCCTACATAGCCTTGGGATGGGGCCAGTCACTGGACAGAGCAAATGATTAGAGAATTGGAACTGGGGGGTGGGTAGGGTTGGAGATCAAACTATGAAAACTCTTGAAAAACAAGATTTGATGAGCTTGCAGGTTGGTGAACATGTAGAAGTACTGGGAGGGTGGTATAACTGGAGATGGAAGTTCCATGCCCTGTCTCACACCTTGCCCTATACATCTCTTCCATCTGGCTATTCCTGAGTTGTATTCTTTTATAACAAATCAGTAAACACAAGTAAATGTTTCCATGAGTTCTGTCAGCCATTCAAATGATCAAACCCAAGGAAGAGGTTGTGAGAACTCCAACTTATGCCCTGTTGGCCACAGGTACAGGTGACAACATGACTTGTGTTGGGCATCTGCAGTTGGGGGCAGGCTTGTGGGAATCGAGCCCTTAAACTGTGGGATCTGAAGTTATCTCCAGGTAGACAATGTCATCACTGAGCTAAATTGTAGGACACAGCTGGTGTCTGCTGGTGAACTAGAATTTCTTGGAGAGGGAAAACCCCCCACATCTGGTGGCCAGAAATGAAGTATTCTGAGGAAAGGGAAAAACAGAGCTTTCCCTCATAAAAAGTGTTTGTGGTTGTTTGATTTTAAGGCACAGAAAAGTGAGACCCAATAAGTACATATAATTTTAATTTCAAAATTTCCTACCTCTTTGTGGAATGATTTAGGGTAGCTCATAAAAGACACAAAATTAATAAAGGAGAAATAGAAGAGAGGGCCAATCAGGATGAGAAGGACCAAAGCAAATATCTGGACCATGCGGATGTAGCAGATACACAGGCTCTCTGCTTCCTGACTGCACAACAGAAGGAAATGAGAAGAATTACCAATTTTTCTCATAGGAAGTGAAGAGACAGAGCAGCTGCCCAGAGGGGATCCTAGAACTCCCTGCATACTGGGTGGAGGACTCTGCATGGAGGAACAGGTGCACCATGTCCTCATAGGTGTTTTCACAGTAAATGCAAATGTAACCCCAAGTAAAAGTCACAGATGTAACATGAAAGGTAAAATCTGTAACACAGTTGACAAACGTGCCTGTTAAGTGTTATAACTTCATAGCACTTAGGCTACTCCTTATGTTCCCCAAATATAATATTTTTGACTGAGATTTTGACAGGAGTTGGCTATTCAGTGGCTCAAGAGGCTACTTTTTAGGTTGGAGGCTGGAATCAGAGTATCCTATTCTGATTGCTAAGGACAGATTCTAGAACCTGGCAAGGAGTTGGCAGTTCTATAATGAAAAATCACAGCCTCCAACCAGAATTCCTGTCCAGATATATTCTAGTCTGCCTTCATGTAGAGAAGAGGCCACAGGGTGCCTGCACACAAAGCCATTGGGGTTTTCCTCTAGCAGCTGAGCCAGAGATCAGCGGAGACCTCTGGGTGTGACTCCAAGGAACAGGGCAGGGATGGAAGAGAAAGAAGGTTTCAGCCTGAAACAGAGTAGGTGGTCCTGGCTGGTTCACCATGCCCTCACAGTGATGCAGTGGAGGATAAATTCTCTCTCCGTCACTGAAGGAAGTGACTTTCTGCATGTTATCTAATAACATTAGTTTAAGTGCTGGGGAATGTCCACCAGCAACAGTGTGGCTGCAGAGAGAAAGCATGACTCAGATCCTGGCTGCTGTGCTCTGGAATTTAGCGCCGTGGTTTTGCTTCTCCAGGAACTGAATGTGACGGGAATATCATGGCAGCCTGGGTCCTGCGACCGGCAGGGCTCCTCTGAAGCTGACACTGTCAACCCCACCGACCCAGTTCCAACAGCCTTGCTGAGTCCTCCCCAGAATGCTGCTGCTGGTCTGGGATGCTGCAGCCCAGCCTTCCTTCCACACCCCAGCACTGGGGCTCAGGTTTCACTGTGGCTCTTCCAGAATTCACCTTCCTTCCCATTTTCTCTCACACAGGCATTTCTCCTAATAAAACTTGTACACATTTAATCCCATCTTATTCTATGTTTATCAGAGGACCCAAGCTAATGCAAATAGCAATTTCTGTTTTTATTTTAGTTCATTTTTAGCCTTTCCAAAAACAGAAATACAGCAGGTCTATGCTTCTCATTGGAGGGACCTGCCCAATTTGTGTTTGTTTTTCTTTTTGGCCAGGATTTTGCCATAGGAGAATATTTAACCTTCCATTCCTTGTGGGAGAGGACTAAGCAGCTGATTCACCTACAACAGTATCAGACTTTTACATTATCAAACAAAAGGTAGAAGGCTGTGCTGTAGCCTGGCTTTAACACGGAGGGGTTTATTTTAAATGTGTAGTTTAATCCATATCTGGGCACAGTTTGCAGGTTGAGATTGATGAAAGACAGCACAGTGAAAGCTTCAGCCTTAATCTTATATTTGGCAGCATCCCCCTCCCAAGGCCTGTGGCATCCACCCCAGAAGATTACCCACAAATAAGAAATAATATTGAACAAATGAAAGAGAAGCTAGTTCCTTTCAGAGCCTAAGTAATCAATAGGAGTTTACAGAGTGCCTGGATTAGAATGTCTGATAAGCAGACATCTGCAACAGTTTCAGATGTTCTGCAGGGAGGTGGATAAAGAAGTACCCACAGGCTTCCTCTAAGGTCAGTAAGAGATGTTCATAAAGAAGAAATGTAAGTTAGAGTTGGATATGCAGAGAATGTACCCCCACTGGGGCTAATAAACAAAAGGAGGGATTCAAGATCAGTTGAAATTTGATATCCTACATGTCTTTGCATAGTCCTAGAAAAAACCCTCCTCCATTTCAAAGTCCAGAGAATACTAACTCTATACTCCAGCAGAGATGCTTCCATGGTGACAAAGCATACATGAAATAAAAGAAGGCAAAGGCGATTTGTCTTCATTCATGTCCAAAGACAAAACAGGGCTTCTATTCTTTTAATTATCCAGCCCCTATTCAGCCCCTAAAGCTCTAGCCCAAAGCTCTACTTGCTAGCTCTTTCTCTGCTATGAAGTGCAAAGTCTCTGTGTCTCCATTTTGTGATAAGATACATAATGTATTTCCAATAGTAATTTTTTTTCGTAACTGGAAATGTGTTGGGTTTTCTTTCAACAGACCAGGAAGGTCATGGCGTACATGCTGGAGAGACCTTTCTGTGGTTTCTTAGCCCAGAGCACATGTAGATACTTGCAAACATAAGATAAAGACCCTCTCAGGGGTGATCAGCAGCTCAAAATGTGGCCCAACAGAGGCTATTAAATCCTATCCCTCACCGTTTCATTACAGCTTCCTCATATTGTTAACCAGCAAACTAAGTCATGGATACAATTAAATTTGCTCACTGGTTTCATTGTCCTATTAACTCCTGCTAGCAACCATATTACCCTACAGTTTCTTTGTAAAAATATGAGTGGAACCTACAACTTCATAAGCCAGATTTTTTCAGGATTTTCTCAGGGAAATGACAGTTCAGCTTATTTTCTATTGCTTTTCAGTGGTGCTGTGGGGCTCAGAAGGCCTTCCTAGAGGCTCATTTCAACATACCTCCGGTCTGTGGGGTACAGTTCTACAGTGACCACATCGAGAGAGTTCCAGGCTGAGATGGTCAATCCGTTGTACAGACACAGCATGCCTATCATCCTGGATTCGCTGGTGCCAAACCAAAGGAAAAAGCAGCTGATCCCTGAAAGCACCATAGAGCCACCTGCCAATGAAGCAGACAAAAGGCTGGAATGTTCCCATAATCTCAGTAGAGCACGAAGCATTGAGTCTTTGAGCTTGCAGCAGAACTGAATCCCAATGGGAAGCTGCAGCTTGGCATCCATAAAGCTCAGCTACAGGTGTGTTCACCTGTTTAAAGGTCTCCTTCCCTAACTGCCTTTTGAGCACAGCCCACATGAAATGTACATCCTCTTAGTTACTCAGCTCCTCACGCGGAAAGATACACTTTAGTCACACAAAATTAGTTTTTCAGTCTATGAACTCATGGAAGCTGCTCAAATGAAAAGTAATTAGAAATACTTTTCACTAAAATTTAGTCTTGATGAAAGGTCTTAAGGGATTTCCCCTCACCTCTGTGGGATACAAATCCCTAAGCGGGCAGGGGGTACAGTGGCAAACAGGCTCCCATTTGACTGCAGGGGCAGCTCTTTTACCCGAAACCATACCTAGCATCGTTAGGCGCCCGATTCTGTCCATCAGGAGAGCAGACACAATGTTCCCTGGCAACACTGCCAAGGTCCCTAGGAAGTTGACAAAATAAATCCAGTAGGCACCATAGTCTTCCTCAAAGGTAATCTGGCATCCCGTCTTATTGTGAAAGAATGAGCAGTTTTGAAATTTGCTGTCAATGAATTTATATGCCTCAAAATCTGTGGACACAAAGAAAGATAGCTCATCAAGATTTTTGCAGTTGTACATTAGGATAAGAAACCCTATCAAGAATTCAGAAAAGAATCAAGGTTATAAACTTCTTGAGGGCTTCAGGGCCTGGCCAAAGCACAGGGTCTAGCCTAGGACCTCACATTACAAAGTAGCTAAATGAAGGAATACCTTTATTGAATAAAGGAATACATTAAAGAGTCCAGTTATCTATGGATTTTTTATGGTTGGCCATTGCTAATTACAGCTGACCCTTGAACACAGTGGGGGATGGGGATACTGACCCCTCACACAGTTGAAAATCTGTGTATAAGTTTTAATTACCCCAAAACTACTAGCTAACTGCTGACCAGAAGCCTTATTGATAACATGAACAGTTGATTAACACATATTTTGTATGTTACATGTATTATATATTGTAGTCTTACAATAAACTAAGTTTTAACTACCCCAAAACTACTAGCTAACTGCTGACCAGAAACCTTATTGATAACATGAACAATTGATTAACACATACTTTGTATGTTATATGTATTATATATTGTAGTCTTACAATAAAGTAAGCTAGAGAGACAAAAATACTTTTTCAAGTCGTTGTAAATATCCAAAACCTTTTTCCAACATATGTATTGAAGAAAATCCATGTATAAGTAGACCAGCACAGTTCAGACTGGTGTTGTTCAAGGGTCAACTACATATTACTTGTTTTCTCCTTCAAGATGTCACTTTGTCTTAATTATGATGTTACATAGGACTGTCATTATAGTACTAATAGCTTCCATATTAGAAATACAAAAACAATTTGTTTAAAAATGTACACGAATCAGCTTGTTATTACCATTTTATGGGACTCTGAGACACAGAGAAAGAACAGGACTTGCTTTGAGTCCTTGAGGCTGAAATTGTAAGTTAAGGTCGAAGTGGAGGGACCCACCCAGGAAGAAGGCAGCCTCACTGAAGGACACTGGCACTCACTGCTGATTTTTTACTTGAACTTGGATCTATCCAAGAAGGGACTACAGATGATGGTGGGTTCTGCTAACTGGTGGTGAGAATCAAAACTTACTGTCTTTGCAGATAAAGACAAAGACTGGCTTAAAAAGCTGGTCTTTTGAGGTTTGGTGGGTTAGAAGACAGTGATAGCACTGTTTAGAAAAAAACCAAAGATGTGGGACTCCATTCTCATTTGGAGCTAGGCAGAGCTGGCTCCCATCCAAGCACCAAGAAGGCAGGACTGGCAACTCTGCCAGCGTCAGGCTATTACGCTGGTCTCACAGGACAGATAAACCACTGTACAGGGTTGGGAAAGCATGGGCTTTGCAATCAGATAAATCTGAATTCAAATGTTAGCTGTCACTAGTTCTACAATTGTGGCCAAATTACTTAATTTTTTCTAAGCCTCAACTTAGTGAAGACTAAATGGGATACTGAAGGTCTAAGGACTGAGAGTAAGAACCAGTATACAGCAGGTGCTCAATCTATGTTAGTTTCCCTTCCTTTTCTTCCTGGGGTTTCCCAGATTCCATGAACTGGACTGGACTAAAAGCTGTATCCAGTGAGCATGGCCATATGTTGTCTATTTCCATTAACTGTAATTTAGGCATGCTTACATACACAAACCCCAGATTTTGAAACCAGGATTATCAAAACAAATTAACTACAGGTTAATTCTTTGCTTTAAAAATTGTTCACCAAAGGATTTTTTTCAACTTTGAACTTGAGCAAATCCCATTGCATTAAATATGACAAAAATAATACAAGCTTAACTTTGATGCAACCTGATTGAGGAAATCCATTCATTTACATTTTAGTCCCTCATAAGTCTCTACCCATATTATCATTTGGGTATCACCTTTCTGTGAAGAACTAGGCCTTCTGAAGAAGTCTCAGACAAGGCTAAGTAGTACACCTACCTGTGTTGTCAAAAACAGTATCAATAAATGTGCAGTTCTTGAAGTAGGTGTTGAGTGAAATCACATCTTCAAAGGTGCAGGACTTAAAAACTGTATCTTTGAAAGTTACAGATTTGAACTTGACCCCTTGGAATCTGCCCAACACACACACAAAAATTAGTATCAATGACTGTGCCCATTAGGGTTCGAAATTAAGTCAAATAGGTTTAGAGATGTGATGCCCCACTATGGACTCTTAATTATAAAGGACATTGGCTTTGGGATTTTCTAAATTCTTAGCTTAGAAAGGAAAATCATTTTTCCTCATGCAGCCTATACTTTGGCTATCTCATTGCTCATAAATGTTATTTTCCATCAGAAGAAGAGATAGCATTCAAGATAACATCATTTAACTTCCCCAGTGTTGGTAAAGGGTGTTGTGGGGTATGTAGTTGAAGGTAGAGTGTTTGGAGACTAGCTGTGACTATTGATTATTTTTCAATCCTCTCTTCTTCCTCACATATGACTTTATTTGAAAGTTCTCTGGGGTTAATAGCTCAAAATTGAGGATGTGCTTCCATGCTCACCTTCTTTCTTTATCACTTTCCAAAAAACTCTCTACCTTCTTTGTAAACTGAAAACCCAAGTATTCTTCATTCTAGTGTAGGGACTTCTAATTATTCTGAAGACAGGACATGAGAATTTTGCTTTATTTATATGAGGAATGAATGACTCAGGGGTCTAGAAACTCATAGGTCACATTCATTTCCAAGAATATTTTTCTTCTCACAGCCAACAGGTATTTCGCAGCAAGCAGAATGACAAGAGGGACTTGTTTCTTATTTTTGAAAACATGTAGAATGATGAAATCTGCTCAAATGCATTTTTGGGTGTTGCAAGGGGGAATTCTAGATGATGAAGATGATAACAGTCATAATGATCCTAACATCTTAGAAGAGTCTATGATTCAGATCTGTCCATGTCGATAAGGACTTCCAAGAGACATAGATAAGTATTCAGCAATGCATCTGGTAATTTATTAAGAGACTAGGAATGTATACTTAGTCACTGAGAGGAAAATGCTTGTTCAAGAAGTTATTATGCCAAATGCCATGCTTATTAGGGGGAAGGGGCTGATCCTGCTAGGCATGTAAGCTGGCTGACTACAGACATAGGCATAAAAGCTATTCACTACTAAGTACTTTCAAAACTGTTCTCACTTTAATGCCTGATTACATCTGTTAGTTCAAAGTGTGCTATGGCCTAACAGACCATTTTAAAGAAAATTTGATTTTAATTTTTATTCCAGGGGTCTAAAGTAAAACTATCTAAGTCTTGAATTCACCCACTAAAAGAGTAAATAATGGAACATAAAAGATTATCAATTTTCTGAAATGGAATTGAATTTACAAAGAAGAAATAATTTCTTTTATTAGTGGATAACATATATACAGAGTACACATGGTACAAATTCAAGACATTGAAAAAGGATAAAGTAAATCTTTTCCCCTGTCCTCAAGCCATCCCCAGTTCTCTTGCCCTGAGATAATCACAGTTGTCAGTTTCTCAAGTGTCTTCCAGGAGCATTCTATATATAGGGCACCAGAAAGTGAGATTCACTATTCTTATATCTTACTTTGTCTCCTGATAGTCTACTTTGGAGGTTATTCCATATCAGTCCATAAAGACTTGCCATTTTAAAATGTTGAATAGGAAAACTATTTTTAAAAAATGAGTTAGCAATAGAGGACGTTGATGGGATAGCAGGTTCTTTGATAACTTCCTCCCATGTACACACCAAGGAAGCAACTATATCTCATACAACTAACTCTGAAAATGACCTGAAGACTGCAAGGTAGAACTTCTACACCTGGCAAAAAAGAGAAGAACACACTGACAAGGGTAAAGGAGCAGAGCCATGATCAATTGGGATTCAAGCCATTTCCCCAAGCCAACCCACAAGCAGGATGGGGAGAGGAATGGAATGTGGAGAAGAAAATTGCTTAGGATCTTGGCACACCTGGCCCTGGGGATCTGCTCCAGGAAGATGAGTCCCCATAGCATCAGGCTTCGAAGATTAATAGGATTGGACAGAAGGGATAAAAAGAGTGTGGTAAGGAGCCACATTTCCTCCACATTTGTGGAGGACCAGCATGCTGTCAATCCCTCTGAGGTCCAACTCAGAGGCAGCAGTATAAAACGAGATTTGGTAGTCTTGGAAAGTGTGCCAGAGGGGTCGGAGTCCAAGGGAACTCTCTCCAGGGGAGAAAGGGCTGGTAGGTACCACTTTTCCAGCCCTCTCTCAGCCTAACTGGCCAAACAACTGCAGGAACTAGTTCTAAAACTCTCCATCTACCCCACTTGCTCAGCCCTGGCATTCCCCTGCATTCTTGCCCCACCCAAACCCCCTAGTCCAGTGGTAGTCATTCATTACTGGCAGCCACAGCATATTGCAACAGAAAGGCCAAGCTTCACATACTGAGGCATAGCAGTGGGGATCCACCATTGCTGGCAGGTAGGTAAAGGGTGGGCCCTGACCACAGTCCCCCAACAACAGAGAATACCCCTGGAGCACCTGGGTATGGTGGGTAGGGGGTTTTGTGCTTTTGGACACCACATGATGCCTACTACATAAAGCCATTACTTTCAAGACCAAGAGACATAGCTGATCTATCTAACACAAAGAAGAAACACAGAGAACCAGACAAAATGAGGAGGCAGAGGAATATGTTCCAAACAAAAGAACAAGACAAAACACCAGAGAAAGTGCTAAAGAAATGGAGATAAGCAATCTTCCTGAAAAGAATTCAAAATCATAGTCATAAAGATGATCACTGAACTGGGGAAAGAATAGACAATCTTAGGATGGCTTCAAAAAAGAGAAATAAAATATAAAAAAGAACCAGTCAGAGCTGAAAAATATAATAACAAAAATGAAAAACACAATAAAGAGAATTAATAGAAAATAGAGCTGCAGAGGAACACATCAGTGAGCTGGAAGATAGAGAAGTGAAAAGTACAGAAGCTGAGGAACAGAAAGAAAAAAGAATTTCTAAAAATGAGATGATGCTAAGAGATCCTGCAACAATTCCAAATAAAACAATATTTGTATAATAGGGATCCCAGGAGAAGAGAGAGAGAAAGGGATAGAAAGCTTAGAATAAATAATAGCTGAAAAGTTCCCTAATCTAGGGAAGGAAACAGATATCTTAGAAGCACAGAGAGCCCCTAACAAGATGAACCCATGGAGGTCTGCAGCAAGACACATAGGAATTAAAATGGCAAAGATTATCAGAGAAAGAATCTTAAAAGCAGCAACAGAAAGGCAGATAGTTACCTATAGGGGAAACCCCATAAGGCTATGAGCAGATTTTTCAGCAGAAACTTTATAGGCCAGAAGGGAGTGGCATGAAATATTTAAAGTACTGAAAGGGAAAAATATAGAACCAAGAATATTTTACCCAGCAAGATTATCATTCAGAATTGAGGGAGAGTAAGTTTTCCAGATAAATGAAGGTTAAAAGAATTGATCACCATTAAATCAGGGTATGTTAAAGGGACTTACTTAGATGGAAATGTTTTTAAATTTAAATGTTTTTCATCAGTGAAAACAAATCTGCAGTAAAGATAGTAGACCAATCACTTAGAAAGTAATCATGAAGTTAAAAAGACAGTAGCAAAATCAATTATACACGAAATTAGTCAAGGGACACACAAATAAAAAGATGTAAATTATTACATCAGATACATAAAACATGGAGATGGAATAATAATGAAAAAGTAATACTTTTAAAATGTGTTTTAAGTGATCATAAACCTTATATAAACATATATATATGTATATATATATATACATATATATATATACACACACACACACACACACACATATACGCACACACACACACACACAGGAATATATATATGTGAACCTTATGGTAAACACAAACCAAGAGTCTATAATAGATAGACAAAAAATAAAAAGAAAGGAATCTAAGCATAACACTAAAGAAAATCATCTAAGCACAGGGGAAGAGAGCAAGAGAGGAATAAATGAACACAGAACTACAAAAACAACCAGAAAACAATGAACAAAATGGCAATAAGTACATACTCATCAATAATTACTTTAAATGTAAAAACTAAATGCTCCAATAAAAAGACATATGGTGGCTGAATGGAAAAAAAAACAAGACTCATCTATATGCACAAGAGACTCATTTTGGACCTAAAGATACTGAAAATGGAGGGATAGAAAGAGATGCAAATAGAAGTGAGAAAAAAGAAGAAGTAGCAATACTTATATCGACAAAATAGGCATAAAAATAGAGTAACAAAAGACAAAGGAGGGTATTACATAATGATAAAGGGATCAGTCCAATGAGAGAATATAACAGTTGTAAATATCTATGCACCCAACAGCAGAACACCTAATATATGAAGCAGATACTAACAGCTCTAATGGGATAAATTGACAGTAACACAATAATCATAGGGGACTTTAACACCCCACTTTTATCAATGGAATGGATAGATCATCCAAACAGAAAATCAGTGAGGAACAGTGGTGTTGAATGACACATTAGACCAGAAGGACTTGAGATATACAGAACATTCCACTCCAAATCATCAGACTATACATTCTTCCAAGTGCACATGGAACATTCCCCACAATATATTTGTAACCTAATATATTAGGTTACAAATAAGTCTCAATAAATTTTAAAGATCGAAATCATACAAGTAATCTTTTTGGACCACAACAGTATAAAACTAGAAATTAATTACAAGAAAAAACTGGAAAAAGAACCCAAACACATGGATGCTAAACAACATGTTTCTAAATAATCATTGGTTGATGAACATATCAAAGAGGAAATCAAACAATACATGAAGATAAATGAGAACAGAAACTCAGTGATTCAAAATATGCAGGATGCAGCAAAAATGGTTCTAAGAAGAAAGTTCATAGCATTACGGGCCTATCTCAAGAAACAAGAACAATCTCAAATAAACAGTCTAAACCTTACAACTAAAGGAACTAGAAAAAGAAGAACAAAGCCCAAAGTTAGTAGGAGGTAAATAATTAAGATCAAAGAAGAACTAAATGAAGTAGACAAAGAAAACTGATAAAAATCAATGAAATCAAGAGCGGGTTTTTGAGAAAATAAACAAAATGGACAAACCCCTAACCAGACATATCAAGATAAAAAGATAGAGGACACATAAAAAAACAAAATCAAAATGAGAAAAAGAGGAAGTTATAACTGACACCACATAAATTCAAAGAATTATAAAACAATTCTACAAAAAAATTATGTCAAAAAATTGAACAACCTTGATGTAATGGACAAATTCTTAGAAACATATAATCTTCCAAGACCAGGAAGAAACAGAAAATCTGAACAGACTGATTACTAACAATGAAATTGAATTGGTAACAAAAAACTCCCAACAAACAAAAGTTTAGGACCAGATGGCTTCACAGCTGAATTCTACCAAACATTTATAAGCAGCTAATACCTATCCTTATTAAATTATTCCAAAAAACAGAACAGGAGGGAATACTTCCAAACTCATTTATGAGGCCAGCATCACCAAAATAAGACAGACACTATAAAAAAAGAAAATTACAGACCAATACCCTTGATGAACATAGATGCAAAAATCCTCAACAAAATATTAGCACACCAAATTCAAAAATACATCAAAAGGATCATTTATCATGTAGTGGGATGTATTCCAGGGATGTAAGGATGGTTCAGTATCCACAAATCAGTCAATGTGATATACCACATTAACAGAAGGAAGGATGAAAACTATATGGCCATCTCAAAAGATGATGCTGAAAATGCATTTGACAAAATTCAACATCTATTCATGATAAAAACTTAACACAGTAGATACAGAGGGAACATACCTCAACACAATAAAGACCATATATGACAAACCCACAGCTAACATCATACACAATGGTGAAAAGCTGAAAGTTTTCTTTCTAAGGAACAAAACAAGGTTGCCCAGTCTCAGCACCTTATTCAACATAGTCCTAGAAATCCTAGCCACAGCAATCAGACAACAAAAAGAAGTAAAAGGCATGCAAGTTTATATGGAAGAAGTAAAACTGCTACTATTTGCAGATGACATGAAAAAGACTCCACTCAAAAACTATTAGAATTGATAAATGAATTCAATGAAGTTGTAGGATACAAATCAATATGCAGAAATCTGTTGCATTTCTACACACTAATAACCAACTAGCAGAAAGAGAAATCAAGAACACAATTCCATTTACAAATGCATCAAGAAAGAATAAAATACCTAGGAATAAACCTAACCAATGAGTTGAAAGATGTGTTCTCTGAAAACCATAAAACATTGACGAAAGAAATTGAAGAAGCACAAATAAATGTGGAGATATTTCATGTTCACAGATAGGAATTAATATTGTCAAAATGGCAAACTACTCAAAGCAATATACAGATTCAGTGCAATCCATATCAAAATCCCAATGAAATTTTCCCAGAACTAGAGCAAATAATCCTAAAATTTGTATGGAAATACACACAACCCCAAATAGCCAAAGCAATCTTGAGAAACAAGAACAAAGCTGGGGGTAACATACTCCCTGATTTTAAGCTATACTACAAAGCTACAATGATCAAAACAGTATGGTACTAGTGCAAGAACAGACACATAGACCAGTGGAACAGAATAGTGAGCCCAGAATTAAACCCTTGCATATATGGTCAAAGGAGGCAAGAAGAGGAAAAGAGAGTCCCTTCAATAAATGGCGTTGGGAAAACTGGTTAGCTACATGCAAAAGAATGAAACTAAATCACTGCCTTATACCATACAAAAAATAAACTTGATGGATTAAAGGCCTAAATACAAGATATGAAAGCACAACACTCTTAGAAGGAAACATCAGCAGGAATTTCTTGAACATTAGCATTAGTAATTTTTTTCTGGCTACATCTCTCTGAGCAAGGGAAACACAAGCAAAAATAAGTGGGACTACTGCACAGCAAAGGAAACCATCAACAAATATATTGGGAGAATATATTATATATCTGAAGGGGTTAATATCCAAAATATATAAGAACACATAAGAATGAACACCAAAAAACAGATGATCCAATGAAGATTGGATCATTCTTCCCAAAGAAGAAATACAGATGGCCAACAAGCACATGAAAAGATGCTCCACATTGCTAATCATCAGGGAAATACAAATCAAAACCACAATGAGATATCACCTCATGCCAGTTAGAATGGTCACTATCCAAAAGACAAGAAATAACAAGTGTTGGCGAGGATGTGGAGAAAAGGGAGCCCTCCTACACTATTGGTTGGAATGCAAATTAGTCCAGCCTCTGTGGAAAGCAACAAACTAAAAATAGAAATCCCCTATAACCCAGCAATCCTACTTCCGGGAATTTACCCAAAGAAAATGAAATTACGATTCAAAAAGATATATGCACTCCTATGTTTATTGCTGCATTATTTACAATAGCCAAGATATGGAAGCAACCTAAGTGTCCATCAACAGATGAATAGATAAAGAAGATGTGGTACATATATACAAAGGAATATTATTCAGCCATAAAAAGGAATGAAATATTGCCATTTTCACAACAAGGCTGGACCTGGAGGGTATTATGCTAAATGAAATCAGCCAAGCAGAGAAAGACAAATACCATGTGATTTCACTTATATGTGGAATTTAAAAAAACAAAACAAAACAGAGATAGAGCAGAAACAGAACAAAGCAGAAACAGAATCATAGACAGAGAAGAGACTGATGGTTGCCATTGGGGAGGTGGGTGGGTGGGAGTTGGTGAAATAGGTGAAGGGCACAAAATCCCAATTGTAGTATAAATTAGTCACAGGGATGAAAATACAGCATAAGGAATATAGTTGATAATATTGCAATATCTTTTTATGTTGGTAGATGGTAACTAAACTTATTGGGGTGAGCATTTAATAATGTAGGTAACTGTTGAATCACTATGTTGTAAACCTGAAACCAAGATTGTATATCAACTATACTTCAATTTTTAAAAAGAGCTGGCTTTAATGGCAAAGAAGAAAAAAGAATTAGCTAGTAGTATTTCAAATTTCCCTGAGAGACAAAAATAAATTGTATCATTTTCTAAAATAAATGTATATGCTTTATAAGGATTTTAATACTATTAAAATTACTAATCATTATATTGCTAAAAAACTTCTTACTGATGACTGAACATCCAGCTTACAGCTTTAACAAATATAATTAAAAATATTATTGTCAAAGGCACATATATCATAAAATGCTAAAGGAGTAAGAACACTTTTTAAAATAAATGAGGTAAATTTTCACCCTCGAATTACAGAGCACTTGACTCTAAGATTTCCGCACAAAAAACAAGTGCAGAATCCAGTCAATATTTTATGTGGGAGAATGAAAGTGATCCTATGTGGCTTGGATACGGATTAGGCCCTTTACTGAATTGCCAGTTCAAACAATTATCTTCTGAACTCTCCTTTTCATTACTCAAACAATAAGCATCCCACAGAATTCTTCATCTTTCCAAACTGGTTTTTGCCCTGGGAAACTTTGTTCAATTATTATAGATTTTTACTTTTATTGCTTCTGAAATTGGGACAATTTCTTAAGAATGATGTAAACCATCAGGAACTCATACTAGCAATTATTTGCTCAGATGACAAATAATGGATAGAAATGACTATCCATTCTACCTCTTTCCCATTCTGAAAGAATGAACCAGAACCACCTTCCTGAGCCAGTTCTCTCACCTCATCAAAAGGCATTCCAGACCTCATACTCAAAAATGCCCTTTGCTTATATATTCCACATTTTCAAATCCCTTAGCTGTGGGGAATCATTCCTGTTCTCTAATGGAAACTCTTCCTAATAAAATTTAACCCCAATTTTTGTCAGTAAAGTAGAGAAGGAAGGAATTCTGAAGGTGGTTCCCTTTCTCAGGAGTAGAAGACAGGAATAAAATTATTTTTCAGATTTCTTCTCTGAATTAAATAATGTGAACACCCCTCCTATGTTCTCATACTCTTCACTCTTCCGCAACTTATTTTCATTGCTTTCTAGGGTCTCTCTAAATTTTCTCTTCATACCAGTCAATTCTACTACTTAATTAAATGTGAAGCAGCTCAGTTTCAGAAGTAGTTTTAAATGAATTCCTGATACACATGTACCTTTTCTTTAAAACCCAGTTGGAAGTATTCAAATTCAGTCTGAAAATGACTAAGTGTGCAGACTAAAAAAAAACTGTGCATGCTTCAGTGTAGTGAAGGCTAGTAAGAAATATGTTTTTGAGAAGAGGTAGAAAATTAAGTTATTTCAAAGTTTCTGGACCTGCCATTGTCGAATTCCATTGCGATTTGCACCCGATTTTCCACTGTATAGTTAACAGTGAAATTTGTATACTTCTCTCTTGCCACTTGTTTTATTACCAGTGAGTCCAGCTGCAAATGTTTAATGACGTCAGGGAACCAAACAGATAATCCATAGTACCTGTGAAGACAAAGAAATATAGCTTCATAAGGTATCAGCACGCCAGTGGTAATGAGCACCTGCTGGACACTTTCAAAGAGGTAGTGGCTCCCCCAGAAGCACTTGTGAGTCTGACTGGCTCCCTGCAACATTATGAATCATCAAACAGTACTCTGCATAACCCTATGCCTCTGATAAAGTCTGTAAAAATCAAGCTAGAGATCGCCTGGAGAACCCCAGGTTTGTAATTCCTGAACTATTCCTTGGGGAAGAGATGTGCATAAGGACTCCATCCTGTGCCAGCACATGGCGCCCCAGCCCTGATGTTTTCTCATCCCCCTGCTGCACTGAGGAACCCCATTACCCAGTCTGGTGGCATAAACTCCTGGGGTCCAAAACTGAGGACCCTTCAAAAATGGAATCTATGGACTCCTGAGGCAGAGATGGTTCAGGAATCCTGATGACAGTGATGAGGATGAAAACCAGAGTCTTTTGAGAAATCATTCTGCATCCCACTTAATTGGGTGACCACCCAGGAAGGTGGATACTATCATCATTCTGATACTAGAGACGGAGTAACTGAGACTTAGACAATGGGCCCTTTACTAATGGAGAGCATTTCTGGGTTCCTATGCTACTGTGACACTGCTAGTCTGGGGGCAGGGGCCCATTTCTCAAAGTGGTCCAAGGCTGGGAAATCATCTGAAAGTCCAGGTGATTTCCACTGCCTGCCTTTCAGACTCTAATGTGCCTTTCTAACAGGTTACAGCTTAGCTGCCATGCTCTTCAGTATAGCAGCCACTAACCACATGTGGCAACTGAGCAGTTCAAGTGCCACTGGTCCAAATGAGATGCTTGAAGTATAAAACAGCAAATTTGAAGACTTAGGAAAAAGGAATGTAAAATTGAGTCATTAATCATTTTCATACTGATCATCTATTAGAATTATAATATTTTGGACATAATGAGTTCAATAAAATTATAATTAAAATTAATTTCATCCATTTCCTTTTACTTTTTTAGTGTGCCTGCTAGAAAACTTAAAATGACCTATGTGGCTCATGCTGTCTCTCTATTGGACAGTGCCGCTCTAATTCGGTGGTTCCCAAAGTAGGGTCCCTGGACCAGTAGCACCAGCACTGCCTGGGAACTTGATAGAAATGAAAACTGTTGGGCCCCATCCAGACCTGCTCAATCAGAAACTCTGGGGGTGGGGTACTAGGTGATTCTTGAAATGCAAGTCTGAGAACCACTGCTCTAGTTTATCCCCAGTTACACTTCATTACACAGGGAAAGAAGTGGTTGTGAGCATAGCTTTCACAGGTACACATGCTAGGTTTGTATCCTGGCTTTGCCAGATGTGTGATTTCTGGTCAGTTCTCCAAGTCTCTGTTATTCCATTACTGTCATCAGGATTCCTGAAGCATATCTGCCTCAAGATTCCTTTGATTCTAACCCCTTCTTTTTAGAGCATGAATTAATTACTGTGGGGGTATGAGTGGCAGCCACTGAACAAGAAGTGACTCAGGGATGCAACATCAGTCACATACACACAGGACAAAAATCTTTAACATGTCAGCAATGAGGGAACTACGCTACCCTGGAACATCCATCACCCGTGATTTGGAGGAGTTTCATCTAATTTTTCATTTATTCAATATTTACTGAAAACCCACTAAATGCTAGGAACTGTGGTTTCAGGGATATTATAAGGAAATCATATAGCTTAAAATATAAGTAAACAAAATGAAAAAACCAAGTAACTCTTTACATCTTAAGAGCAGAACTTTCGTCTTGCTTATCTCTGCACCTACCCCAGTGTTCAGCACATAGTAGGCATTAATACATGATAATGTTCATCCTTCTCATCTTTCATCAATTAACAGGTTTCCCAGGTTACTTTGCATATGCTAAATCAACCATCTTAGCTTAGAGATAAGGAGCTAAAACTCAGTAGTGTCCCCAAGTAACACAGCAGAAAGAGATATTGGCCCTGGTCCCTCCTTTCCTTGTCTTCCCCTTTATTATATCCCACAGCAAAGGGAAAGATCAGTCACTTTTGACCACTGACCTAGCTTAGTTTAGGGGTGTTAAAAGATGAAACTTGCAGCATCAATGTCAGGCTCTCAAAGGCACTAAAAGCCCATTGACCTGACTTGAAAGTGAGGTGTTACCTAACTGCCTTTTTACAGTGGCTAATTAGGCAAAAATATTCTAAAGTTAATATGTCAGCTATTAGCAAATAAAATTATGAAAATGTCTGCTTACTTCCTCTTAAAACACCTATTTGGTGGTTTTATCCATTCGACCACACCTCTTTATGAGCACTTACTATGTGCCAGGGACATTTATCAGTAAACAAAACAGTTTAAAATTCCAGTTCTCACAGGGCTTCCAGAGCAAAGAGAAAAGCTTTATCTCTTATAGAATAAAGACTCTTTTTGTCTATTAGAAGATAGAAGGTGCTCTAAAGTACAATGAAGCTGAGAGGGGATAGGGAGTCCTGAGGAGCTGCAATGAAAAAAAAATGGTGCTTATGGAAGGAAGGTGTCCTTGAGAGGGTGACATCTGAAGAAAGACTCAAAGAAGGTGAGGAAATGAGCTGGGCAATACCTGGGGGCAGCACAGAAGGGCTGAGATGGGACCAGCTCTGGCATGTTTCAGGTACAGCAAAGAGGTTGCTGTGCCTGGGGCCGAGCAAATGAGGAGAGTCTATTGCTTTGTCATCCCAGCTTTATGACAAAATAATATAAGTAGTTTATAAAAACCGTAACTGTCAGCAAAACCAAGCTGAAAAAAATCTTCCCTATCATGTTAACAGCATCAAACAGGACAAGAAAAGAAAGTAGTATGGCTGGGAGTTACAGTGTGGAAATGTAAAGATTTCACTCACCAAGAATTTACTTATCACTTACCCAAAGGACAGGGTGAACCAAACAATTGTAAGCTTTATTGTGTTTTCTCTGACAGGGTAGTTGAAACATCTCATAAAAGTCAGCCAAATCTGTAAAATATTAGAGGGTTAGTTGTCTTATGCATTATCTAGTCAACCCTACTCCCAGCACCCCAGTCAATTATAAAAACATTGTTTTCTTTGGGCCAGATTCACCTGAACTTGAAAAATAAAAGCTAAAGGCTATAGGAAAACAAATACTGGAATTTTTATTTTTAAGCTTCCTGGAGGCCAATGGACAGAGTAACCCTAGCCTTCAGTGTACCCTGCCACTGCCAGGACTCCTTGCCTAACACCTTCCCTTCCCAAAGGTGGAATGTCTTGGCTAGCCCACTGATCCCAAAGGGATCCTATTACTTGGTCAGGTATCTTGGACAGAAGGGAGAAGAGCCACATTCCTGGGACTAGTACAATTAACCCTGCTTCTGACTAACCTCAAATGCAACAAGTTAGTTGGCAAGTCAGGGCAGGCAGGCTTGTTACTTACCCCGTAGAGTTCTGTGCGAATGCGAACAAAACACCTCCTGTACCATGTTCCTGTGTCACTCTCAATTTCTATCAGTTCATCTATTTGTTTTGGGGTTTTGATTCTGTTTACCTGTAAAGAGCAACAGAAGTACAAAGTGCTGAGTTCTCTGAGGGCTTACAATTTGTTTTTAAAGGAGTGAAAACTAACCCCAACGAAAAGCAAACAGGTATTTGTAATCACCCCATTCATATATGAGACCACTGGCACAAGTACACAGCTCCCACCGGCACTTAAGAAGCTGAGTAAAGAATGAATGGGAGGGAACACCATGGAGAAACAGGAGAGGAGTAAGTAGGAACGGAGTAATATGAAACCAAAATGCTCTTCTCTGAATCAGTACGAAGAAGGCACACATTAGCAGATAAAACATCCAGAGAGATTATTTCCTGGATTAAGAATGATTTTGCCTGGACTAAAGTGATTGTACATACTTTACTTTGGAGTCTGCTTATTTGATTAATTTGCCCCCTAAACGTAGTTCTTAAAGCTTTCCCATCAAACTTTTAATCTGAGAGGGTCACTATGATCCTTTCCTCCTTCTCCCACAGTTTCATCCATAGTGGCAGAGCAGCAAATACCCACAGGTGACCATGGCTAAAGGTCAAGTGAATGAGCTTTGATTCCAAGCATCAACACTGATTCTTCAGCACTGAAGGGAATACATGATGGTGGTTTAGTGTGAGAAGCTGCAGCTATGACTTAAGTTAACCTTCTTTTACTAAGGAAAAGAACCGAGAGACAGGAGAAGCAATGCTTTCAATGCAGAGAAGGAAGGCTGAAAAGAAGAAAAAGGGAGAGTGGCTCCTTTGTGGACCTGTTCCTTCCTACCCTGTTAGTCAACATTTTCCTGCTTTTGAGAAACCTGAGAGAGAACACCAACATGTCCACACACAGTAGACCTTCCAGGGATGACTTCTGAACATATGTTTCTGGAGATTCTGCCAACATTCAGAGCAGCTCTTCTATTGTGAGAGTTCCGGTACTAAGGCTGGCTTATGACAGATGTGATCTGGAGACCCTTGGCACCTTTCACTTACACAAGGCAGGCAGTAGCTTCTTAGTGGCTAAGTAAACAAAGATGTCTGTATTTAATGAAAATAACTTCTGCATTAAATATGAGATTCTAAATAGAGTCAGCTCAAAATAATCCATGTAGGTATGTTGAGAGGGTATTCTTATCACTCAACATACTATGTTTGGGAGGCTTCCCTTCTCCACTCATCAATGTTTGTTCATTCATTGGCACCCATGAGATGCCAGGCCTGGTACTAGGCTGCACAGGTGCAAACATAAAACATCATACTTCCCAAGGATGCCATACATAGTGAAAGCCTCTAATGGAGGTCTAGATCAGATGGAAGAGGTCCATTGTACCGAACACCCAAGTTGACCCAGGAGCGAGAGAGAACGCTTCACAAACTGCTGAATTTGAGCTGGGGCTTATGCAGAAGTATGTCGCTTGCCATGTGTATAACCATGGAGAGGGTGTTTCAGGTGTGAGGAATACCATGTACAAATGTCCAGTGATGTGAAAGAAGACAGTCTATTGCCCAACTACAAAGAGTTTGGGATTCCTGAAGAACAGTCCAAGGGCAGAGGGCAGGGAGTAATAAGGGCTGAACCAAATTAGTGGCAGGGGTGGAAAGTGAGGGACAATGATGAGTGATACTTAGGATGGAGAATACAAGGACATGGTGATTTCTTAGATATCATGGTGCTAGAGGAAAGAAAGAAGTACGGTAGTTTTCAGGGTTCAGGTTTTGTGGTGCTGGTGGTACTTGCTAATAGAATTTAGGACAAGGAAGAGATCTGGAGGCTCTTAAGGTGGAAAGTTCTAGTTTAGAAATTCAGGTTTGAAAGGATATAAAATAATGTCCACAAAACCCCTCAATATGCATGTCTGGAACTCAGATTTGTCCTCTAGGATACAGAGATGCAGGAAGTAGCTGAGATCAGCTAAGGAAAGTGTGTAAGGTTAAAGGAGAAATTAGCTGAAAATAAAGTCCTGAAAAACAGTATTTAAGATAGGGGTAATAGGAAGAGCTTGAAAAGGAGACCTTGGAAGAACATATGGAAATTCACTGTGTCATAGGCATAATAAGGAAAAGGACAAATTTATTTTGGTGAAATCAAATAATGACTTTGAAAGTTACATATAAAAGACTTTGAAATTACCTATTCTTTCGAAGTGTTCTCACCTTATTCGCACACCTAACCTTTATATAACCACATGGATGACCATGAGTGACAATTCATGGTAACTCCAACCGTCTAGAAGCAAAGGCAGGTAAGCAGGCAATGAGGCCCTACAAAGGCACCTTTTCAGAAGGTCTTTGGTAAAGAAAGGGTTTAATGCTCATCGGCTACAAAGGGTTAGGCGACATTGAATATCTAAATGATATCTCAACATGCCTTCAGTCTTAAAATCCTTTCATTTAAGAATATTCTTCCTTTATTGTGTGCCTACTCAAAAGAAGTGCCTATTCAAAGGCTTCCAGGCCCTACACAGAGGACATCCATTACTGATCTTCTTTTCTCCATTACACTGCATGAAAAATTTTGCTACTTAAGAATCTGTGATAATGATGATAGAGGACAGACTAACACCTTCTTTACATTAGGAAAAAATTCATTTCCTAAATAGAAATGAATAAATAAAATGTCAGGGGACTGTTTCAGGGACTATTTCATGTATTTTAAGAACTGTAATTGGTGTTATTTATGAGACACTGAAGATCCTACTTACAGACCTGCTATATCTTACCATATGTTCCCCTAAACCTACCTTAAACAAAACACTTTACATGACTGCATATTTCAAAAGATTTAAAAACCATCATTCCTTCCAAAAATTCCACACAACCAATTTTCATTAATTTAGATTAGCTTTCCCCATTGAGAATAAACTTTGTAACTAGAGGATGGGAGACTATTCCATGCAAAGGGAACAATACATAGAGAGGCAGTACAAGAGGATAAGGCAAAATGGAAGTCAGAGGACTAACAGACAAGTGTAGCGGTGCAGAGAGAGAGGGGAATTTACAATCTGCCCTTTCTCAGAAAAGGTTTCCCAGCCCCTGGTGCAGAAGATTCACTGAGGAGCTGTACTCACCGAGAAGACCTTCTCAGGCTGACCCCGTGCTCTCATGTTTGTGTCATGAATTAACTTCAGAATCATCCAAGCTTCATCATGCTTTCCAACCTAAGAAATTCAAGTAGATGGTGAAGCACTAGGAGGTAAAACGCTTACATCCCCTGATTTTCAAATAATCATCTTGCATTGCCAGGTCAAATCAGGTATGATTGTGCAAATGTGTTTCTGCATGTTGCATGGGAACACAGGGACTAACTAGTTGGATATCCTGGAGTACATTAGCAGTTGAATGGGTGTGCCTATGACTAGAAATACCACCTTTGGATGGTAAAATTTTATTGATAAAACAGTTAGCCATAGTCTCTTCATTGAGTGAGAAGTTATTTGCTTCAGGAGGAACATTAGTGCTCTCTGGCCACAAGGCAGTTTTTCACACACTGGCTGTTTAAAGCATATCTCCAGGAAACCAAATCTTCCATAGTTTGATAGCATGAAGGAAAAGTGTACCTCCCAAAGAGGCAAACATCGTTTCCTAGAACTAACACAGAACTTTTCCCTATGTAAGTGGCTTCCTTAAGTATTTGTAATAAGAAGTTTACCTCCAACAAGAACCGTGGGCTTTCAGGCATGAACGTGAGGGCCACCACTGAGGAGACACAGGGAAGAGCACAGACGATCACGAACACACGCCAGCTGTGGAACTGGTAGGCAGACCCCATGCTGAAGCTCCAGCCTGGAAAATGAGGATGGGAAGGGTGAGGGAGGGGAGAGCACTGCCTGCTAGGAAGGTGAGGGCGCCAGTCGCTGTGGGTGACTACACTGCAAATTTATTAGGCAAATCTTATTACCCACAGAAGAATGAGCTGATCTAAACATTCACCACAGCAACCAGCTCAACTTTAAGACCGCCAATAACAGTCCTGAGAAGAAAGGTGCTTGGAACCAAAGGAGTCAGGGTCTAAGTACGGGGTGCATGCATTTTTCTGTACAACCAGATTCCAAAGGCCAAGATAAATTAATGTGGGATGAGAATGCTTTCCCTTGGATGACTGTGCTGGGCATCTTCTGTGTGCTCATCCAGATTCCCCTCCATGCTGCCTCCCCCCTCCTGCATGCCAGGAAATGGACCTCTGGGGGCTGCATCAGCTGGCTCCCTTGCCCACTGACTCCCCCTGGTTTGGATAAAGGATGCACCAGCAGGAGCGCAGAGGGCAGGAGCGGGGTTTGGGATCTTTCTTTCACTGCTTCCTCTCTCCCGTCCCCCTAGCTGGGTGGAGGTTTGGCAGTAGGCATGCTCATCCCTGGGACCTTCTCCTACAGCCACAGCTCTGCAGGCTCTGCCAACCACTGCCTCCTCTTGCCCTTTGGGACACAGCTGGGTACAGATGCCCCCCTGCTGCTGTAAGTTTCTCTTACCCATTCCCACATAACTCTTTTTAATGACCCCTTCTGAGGGCATCATTGTTTTCCTGCCAGCACCCTGACCAGTACAATTATTAAGAATTAGCAGTTGTGGTACTTTCCACATGCACATGCCATACAGTAGTAGATCAAGATAATTTAAATTTCTAAATAGTGTTTTTGTTATAATAATAAAAACAAGCATAATAGGATACAAACAAATCTCTTCAAGAACTAAAAGAAAGCTAATATTTGAATGAATATAAAATGGCTGAGAGCAAAATTCAAACATAATTCTAAATGAGAAATAATGAGGCATATCAACTCTAATGGAAAACAGAGAGGAGACTGATAGAAGTATAGATGAATTATGTGAAGCAACTTTTAATTTTTGGCAAACATTTGTTACTTATAAGGCTTTTTGTGAACAAAAGTCAAGGAGTCTATACCCAGTCTCCAAAAGAGCAATTTAATTATTCACTGTTTATACAGGAGCCAAGTGAGTTCCTATAGGTGACATAACTTCCTCAAGGCCATGAAGCTAAAGTTATTCATCAGAATCTTCTCCACCAGGATTTGAGGCAGAATCTTGTACCAGACATGGACTCATGTATAGGCACACTAACTTTTAAACATAAAATTTGTTGACAAATGATATTAACATCAATGACATCCTATCAATCATAAATTAATAAACATTTTCTAGAAATTTAATACATGAGGATTATGTGGATTGCTAAATTAACTACATTATATATTTTAGGAGGGGATGTCTACTCTCAATATTCTATGTAGAAGTTTGAAAGTCTCAAATATCTAAAACACAGAGGAAATTCTATGATGGAACAGAGAAAACATACTTAGTTCACTTTACATTTGTTCTGAGAGCTCCATGTAAAGAACTTTCTCAAAAGCTGGAGATCCTACTGTTTTGCATACTAGATGAAACAAAAAAGCTTTAGATGGCTGAGTGAAGCACATGTAATGTTTTAAATTTCAGGCTACTGCACAGTACATGGGGAAAGAGCAAAGAAAAGAGGGGGAGGTCTCTGATGCCTCTGTTAAAATAAATTAGTTCGAAAGGTAGAGTTTTTTTTTTTTTGAGGGTGATGAGTTTTATTTTATTTTATTAAGGTATCATCAATATACAATCTTATGAGGTTTCACATGAACAACATTGTGGTACAACATTGACCCATATTATCAAGTCCCCCCCATACCACATTTCAGTCACTGTCCATCAGCATAGTAAGATGCTATAGAGTCACTACTTGTCTTCTCCATGCTATACTGTCAGAAGGCACAGTTTTATAAATAAAAACAGAATGAGTTATTTAACCAAGGAAAAAGTTACACTAGTGGATACATCATGAAGCTTCTTAGACCCAGCATAAGTGTAAGTGTCTTCATATGGGAAGGAGAGAAGCAGGAGAGTCTGAATGAGAGAAGGCAGTGAGATGAGGGAAGCAGAGCCCAGACTGGATTGAGATTTGAAGACCCTGCAGTGCTGGCTTTGAAGACACAGGAAGGAGCAGGAAGCCAAGGAATGCAGGTGGCTTGCAAAAGCCAGGAAAAGAAGAACATGGGTTCTCCTCTCAAGCCTCTAGGAGCCTTGACAGCTCATTTAGATTTCCGGCCTCCAAAATTTTAAGATAATAAATTTGTGTTGCTTAAGACTAAGAAGTTTGTGGTGATTTGTTAAAGCAGCAATAAGAAAGCAACACACTTCTCTCTGTAGTTATAGGTCTATGACTAACGTGATTGACAGAAATTAAATTAGAGAATCATAGTTTTCTATGGAACCTCAGGCTCCTTGCTTTTGCTCAGACATTTCCTGTTGCGTGAGGACTTCAGGATTCTTCATGTCAGCTGGTCTTAGAAATACTGCCCTTTGCTTTTACTGTTTCCCAACATCACATCAGTTTGCAATGTGATTCCAGCTTAGAAGTTTGCAGCCTACTAAGGAAACTGGGACTAAAAAAGGAGTCTAAACCCAGAAGACAACCAGCTGGTCCAGAGTCCAGCTCTCGTCAGCTTAGAATGTATTTTCAGATGTATATTCTTCTGCCCAGCAGCTTATGTTTATCCTATTTGTTGCTATTCAGATCGGTCTCTCCTTCATTAGCTGTCAAGTCTGTGTTCTGGTCCCTTGTTTAGTGTGTGTGTATTTGCACATGCACAGGCATTGGGCATCTTGCTCTACATAAAGGGTGTGTCATCCACCCACTTCTCTCTCTGTTTGCAATATGCATTTCCCAGGCTCCAAAACCATTTTGTATCCTTTTCTCATTTCTCTTCAAATCTCTAGCAGCCCATCCCACCCCTTTCAGTTGACTATACACACTGTTTCTTAGAGAAAATAAATACCCAGAGACTAAACACTATATACATCTCATCTTCTCACTCCTGAATCTCCATTGCCACCTCCAGGTGTCTGCATCTCTCCATCTTCCCTTAGGAGCATGGACAGTTCACCCACTGTAATCAATCTAAGGGCAACCTGTCTCTGTGGGCTTCAGAGCCCAGCTTTCTTTCTGTCCAGGGCAGAACCTCTGCAATTATCTGTCCCTCTCCTCCAGCCCTCATCATCGTGTTCCCTTGCGTTACTTGATGGGTCACCCCATCAGCACATCTACCTCCACCATCTGAGAACAAACCCTCCCTGGATCTCCATAGGCCTCCAGATGCTTGCTAGTCCTGTTCCCATCACAGCAGGTCGTTCCCCCAAGCATGGTCTGTAGCTTCTGTGTCCACCTTCTTACCTAATACCTTACTTAATATTTCTCACCCTAAACAGGCTTCTGTTCCATAACTCCACAGAAACTGTGCTGGTCAAGGTCATCTCTCTTGCCAAATGTAATGGTCACGTGTCTGGCCTCATCTTAGTTGAACCCTCAAAATCATTCCATATAGCAGACCATTCCTGTTCCCTTTCTGGAGGAGCTTCTTTTCTCCCTCAGCTTCCTCATCCCCACATGTGCTAGCTTCTTTCCCAGCTCCCTGGCTTTCCTTCAGTGTTCTTAACTGGCTCTTCCTCTGACTGGCCCCCAAACTTGTATTCCCCAAATATCCGTCATCAGTTCTCTCTTCTGTCTACAGGTTATTTCTAGGTGGACTCACATATTTGTTACTTTAAGTACCATATACGTGCCACTGTCTCTGAAATATGGCTTGTTTTCTTTCTAGAACTCCAGAAACCTAGATCTACCTGCCTACTGATATCCTCATAGAGATGCCTAACAGGCATCAGAGTTACTGTGTGCAAAATGGAACTTTTGATTTACTGCCTTGCTACCAAAGGAAACTTGCTCTTCCTTCAATCTCCCCTCTTTCAGCAAACGATATACTACCAGCCCCCCAGATATTTGTGCCAGAAATTACGCTGTCCTCCTTGGTCCCTCTTTTCCCCTTACTGCCCTCTGCATCCAGTCTCTCGGCAAGTTCCATCTCTAAGATAGATCTCAAAGCCCCCCACGTCCCCATCTCCACAGGGCTTACAGCTGAAAACCCTCTCCCCGACCTCTGGCAGGAGCCTCTTCCCTTTTTCTGCCTCTCCTTGTCCTCTACAGGCCACCCCCCTGACAGCAGCCAGACAAATCCTTTTCAAATGTCAACAAGATCACTTCACTCTGCTGCTTGAAAGCCTCCAACAGCTCCCAACATGCTGGCATTGAATCCAACTGTGTTACCATGGCCTCTAGAACCAGCAGAGATGGATGCCTCCTTACTGAGCTCACTTTCTGCTGGTGCTGTTGCTCATGGGGTCCAGTCACATGAACCTGCTTCCAGTTCTTTATACACACGGAGCTTAATTCCATCTTGGGGGCTTTGCCCTGCTTCCGTGGAAGGCCAGCCATGAACTTGAAAGGATGTTTGCTGTATTTTAGCCAGCCTTTCTATGAGTTTTGAAGTGAAAGCATTTTTCAGTCTATCTCATCCTCAGCATAGTGTCCTCAGGGTCCTTGCCCTGCCTGGACCTCTCTGCCTGGATATCTGCAGGCATGGATGCCTCCTGCACATGTTACAGGTCTCAGTTTAAGGTTATCTCCTCTGAGAGTCCCAGACACTCAAACCCAGTCTCTGCCAGCAAGGACTCTTTCACTGTCTCCGAGTACTTGTCACTATCTAAAGCTGGCACAGTCCCTGATTTGCCTACATACTTATCATCTGTCCCTTGCCCCCTCATGGGAGCAGGAACTGTGCTTCTGTCACCAGTATACTCCCAGTGCCCACAGCAAGGCCTGGCCCATAGGAGGCATTCTTCAAATGTTTGTCAAGTATGTAAACACACACTCACGCTGGGTGCAGGTATGTGTGTACATGATCATGTGC